CAGAGTTTAATATCTGAGCATCAGCTGTGTGAAACTAAGCATAAATCCACGAACATTCATTCCATGTAATACAATAGGCTCCATCTATAGGGGAATGGACAGATACACTGTTCACACAACCATTATTGATATATTAAAATATGTAATATGTTCTAATCAATATATGAAATATAAGCCGACTGATACATTGAAAACAGCTGGTTGGACGTAAAGCTAAACGGACAGGATATCGACATCCTTACAGACAGTATACAGTAGAAGTAGAGGTACAAGGCGAGGCGTACATCTCCCTCACTACTTTCATATTTGTTATTATTGTTATTTCATGAACTTAATAAAAAATATTCTTAAACTTAAATTTATCGGATGTAAAATACTGTCCTGTATGCATTCTACCATTACCTCAGGAGACTTGGACTAACATTCAACCTGTGCTACATCTTGTTGACATTGAGGTCACTGTGGGTGGGGTTAGACTTTGTCTAATACTCTACCTGTGATCCATCAGCTATGAGAGACAACCAGCTTACATTGTGACCACTGTGGGTGGAGGGTAGACTGAGTAACACTCTACCTGTGATCCATCAGCTATGAGAGACAACCAGCTTACATTGTGACCACTGTGGGTGGAGGGTAGACTGAGGAACACTCTCTACCTGTGATCCATCAGCTATGAGAGACAACCAGCTTACATTGTGACCACTGTGGGTGGAGGGTAGACTGAGTAACCTCTCGACCTGTGATCCATCAGCTATGAGAGACAACCAACACATTGTGACCACTGTGGGTGGAGGGTAGACTGAGGTAACACTCTACCTGTGATCCATCAGCTATGAGAGACAACCAGCTTACATTGTGACCACTGTGGGTGGAGGGTGTAGACTGAGAGTAACCTCTACCTGTGATCCATCAGCTATGAGGAGACAACCAGCTTACATTGTGACCACTGTGGGTGGAGGGTAGACTGAAGTGACTTACTCACCTGTGATCCATCAAAGCTATGAGAGACAACCAGCTTACATTGTGACCACTGTGGGTGGAGGGTGAACAGTAACACTCTACCTGTGATCCATCAGCTATGAGACAGACAAGCTTACATTGTGACCACTGTGGGTGGAGGGTAGACTGAGTAACACTTTCTACCTGTGATCCATCAGCTATGAGAGACAACCAGCTTACATTGTGACCACTGTGGGTGGAGGGTAGACTGAGTAACGCACTCTACCTGTGATCCATCAGCTATGAGAGACAACCAGCTTACATTGTGACCACTGTGGGTGAGAGGGTAGACTGAGTAACACTCTACCTGTGATCCATCAGCTATGAGAGACAACCAGCTTACATTGTGACCACTGTGGGTGGAGGGTAGACTGAGTAACACTCTACCTGTGATCCATCAGCTATGAGAGACAACCAGCTTACATTGTGACCACTGTGGGTGGAGGGTAGACTGAGTAACACTCTACCTGTGATCCATCAGCTATGAGAGACAACCAACATTTGACCACTGTAGGTGGAGGGTAGACTGAGTAACACTCTACCTGTGATCCATCAGCTATGAGAGACAACCAGTTAACATTTAGATCACTGTCTGAGGAGGGAAGACTGAGACTAACACACTACCTACGATTCCTCACTGATAAGAGACACCCTGTTAACATTGTAGTCACTGTCTGTGGAGTTGAGACTGAAATCAACATTCTACCTGTGCTCCACCAGTGATGAGAGACACCCTGCTGAAATTCTGTCCACTGTGGATGTATTGAAGGAAGTACAGAAGGACAATTGATGGAGCTCAGCTGTAAATAGGGCGTTGATGAAAATCTTCATTATTGTTTTTAGTTTCCTGAAATATACCCAAAACAGAAAAAAACATGCCTCATTGACTTGAAAGTGCAAGACCAAAAAAAGAGCAAACATCCTTATTCTTACAGTCACTTTCAAAATCTAACAGTGTTTTGTACTGTTCAAATTGCTTTTTATAAGCACCATCAAGTTGAAAGATAATATGCTCATGGAAACAAATAAGGGAACACATGAAAGTACAAGTGTTCCTTTTCCTTTAATTATTTCAGAATTTCACCCACAGTGCAATACATACCTTGTGAAGAAACCTGGAAAAGAATAAAGGAACACTTGTACTTTCAAGTGTTCCCTTATTTGTTTCCATGAGTATATATTAATCATGTTTACAATTGAGTCACAGCAACCTGTTTGTAATCATTTCTAGTCGCACAAATGGCTGATAGCTATGGTCAGTTATGTTTAAGTCCAATTCTGTATTGTATGGAGTGCTACAATAAATGATTCACCTAGGCATACATTGTAACTATTCAGTCAGCATCTGAACCAAGAGGCGGCTCTTGGGTCAAGAAGCTATTCTACTCTAACTCACAGCACAAAAATAAAAATAATTCCGACACTTTCTTTCTTGACTGATAAATTTCCAAAAGGTCTTTACAAAAACATACAATTCCTTTACCATGTCCAGCAAATAGAGTTGATGAACTCCTGTACAGTCATTGAGTCCCACTCTTTATCTTGTTGCATTAGTCACTTCCAGGGTGCACCTAGGGGGCACCTGCAAGCAGCACACACTACTATGTTCATTCCAGGTCACTAAAATGTCACATTCTTATGCTCATAGATCTACAAGAAGTTACTTCTGGTCTTGAGAAAAGTGGGAAGACTACATGTACCTCACACCAGTATCCCAGTGGCAGGAGAGAAGTGAAAGCTCCTGATGATGGAATGGAGGAGCTCACTGGTTGATTGAGAGAAGAGTAAATACAATGGCAAAGGCAGGTAAGTCTTACATCAGTATATGACCGTCTATAAGACAGACGACCCCATGGATAAGGCGACCCCCAAACTTGACCCTTAAAATCAGTGTCCGTGAGGGTCCGTATAACCTTAGTGTTGATTATATATATTTTTACATAAAACTGTAATTAAAATTACACAATGCTAGGATATATTACTTTGGGTTAAATAATAGTATTCTGTATTATATTTTACTGACGACTGCTTCAGAATTCGTCCCGTTATATTATTGTGCATGTTTGAACTTGTTCGCCGGGAAACATGTGCACAGCTGATTGCTATTTCCGGTTCAAATACACACGGTAATCTTAATCTTAATTAATATATAGAGCAAAAACTGTAACTAAAATTACACAATGCTAGGATATATTTCTTTGGGTAAAATAATGGTATTCTGTATTATATTTTACTGATGACTGCGTCAGAATTCGTCCCGTTATATTATTGTGCATGTTTGAACTTGTTTGCCGGGAAACGTGTGCACAGCTGATTGCTATTTCGGCTCAGATACACGGTAATCTTAATCCCTGCAAATAATACAATGCCCAGCAAAAAAAACTTAACTTAAAAGGTAAATAATCTTGTCTAGTGATGTTTAATTGCAAATTTGACGTCTCTACTGACAAAGTCGTCTTCTGTTGTTTGTTCATGCGAAGTGATTCGATGTTGTTTTCTTACCCCTGGAAAAAAGTTTGACGAATGCGTAACCCATGGATAAGACGACCCCCTTCTACAGACTGCTTTTTTTGGTCCTCAAAATTCGGCTTATAGATGGTCATATACGGTAATATAGTATCTGCCATGAAATGGAAATGGAATGACAAGGCATGAAATGAAATGTCCAAATCTGCTGCAGTACTCACGTAGTTCTATTTGATGTGTTTTACATGTTACACATTACACACTGGTAGCTACGGACATCTGTTCAAAATATGCTGAATATTCTGAACCCGTGAAGGTCCGGGTTAGAATGAGCCTTCAGTAACCCATGCTTATTGTAAGAGGCGCCTAACGGGATCGGGTGGTCAGGCTCGCTGACTTGGTTCACACATGTCATCGGTTCCCAATTGTGCAGATCGATGCTCATGCTGTTGATCACTGGATTGTCTGGTCCAGACTCGATTATTTACAGACCGCCGCCATATAGCTGGAATATTGCTGAGTGCGGTGTAAAACTAAACTCACTCACTCACTTACTGAATATTCTGAGGTTTCCAACCATATGTAGATATACTTGGGGGTAGAAACATGGCCTAAATAGAAGAAGTGTTTGTTTGTCATGCTAAGGCCATGATAATAAGGTTTCTGGAGTGCCGAGGCGGTGGGGTAACCTAATGGTTAAAGCGTTGGCTCGTCCCGAAGGGTTCGAATCCCACATGGGTACAATGTGTGAAGCCCATTTCTGTGTCTCCACGCCGTGATGTTGCTGGAATATTGCTAAAAGCGGCTTAAAACCAGACTCAGTCAGTCAGTCAGTCTGGAGTGCCCAGGGACATAACTCTGCACAGTCATTTACATCAACTTAGACTGGGCCATCTGTAGCCTCGATCTTGAGGGAGAAAACACATTTGTGTTTTTACACAACACTTTGGTTAAAAGGTCCTTATCAGCAAACATTATTAATTCAATACAGTCTGTACCAACCAACCGTTCACTGATAATTGTTAGTCACTAACTATATATTTTTGCCCAATTCTTGTGTGTCATAGATTCTACTTTATCATTATTTGAAATTCAAAATAGGTTATTCTTGAGAAGACCAGTGCGGAAGTCTGCCTAATTGCGGGATTCCCGCTAATTGTACTTACCTTGGTGCTTTATTTATAAATGTATATACCAACAATGGCACAAGTTTATAATTTTTAACACTTTTTTATATATGAATCGCTTTAAGGAGCTTGAGTTGCTGTATGGAGCTCGACTTGATGTACGAAGTTAATTGAATAGAACAATATTATTTATAGTACTTTTTACTAGAAGCAATTCATGTAGATAGCCTCATGGTTTTGTCACTAGTGGTTATTGGGACACATTTTCTAAAGGTAGCGGCCAACTGGCCCCCTTCCAAGGAAATCCTGGCTGCAGCACTGGAACACAACTGTCCAACTCACAAAATGTGGGTTAAACAAACCCCCAACAAAAAATCAAAATAATCAAGCAATTGTTATGCTGTGTACCTGTTCAGCCATCTTGTCAATTGTTCTGATTGCATGATTGAGATCCAGGTAGCTAAAAGGATTTTTCATAGATGGTGTGCTTCCCTTAAAGGTTGACCAGGAACCCTGAAAATATTCAGACATCACATGACACAAGCATGGTGGTAGTATCTTTGTTGTATGTCCATTCAAGCAGTTCCATATAGTGTTTCTAATTCAAGCAAATTCAAAATTTACAATTTGTCCATAACATTGGTGGGTTCTTTGCAAAACGTCAGGATGAAATGTCTTGTTACTCTCATTCATACATGAAGTCCAACAAGTCTTGAAATTTATATAATATCTTAATATTCATGGTCATTTTGACAAGGCGCTGGCTATGTCAACTTCATGATGTAAGGCACCAATGATTAAATTGGTCATAAATAGTCTTTGTCATAATTAATGCCAACAAATGTATTTAAGATATGTCACTAACATTAATATACAGGACATTCCTGTTCTCGTCATTGACATTGTAGACTTGTAGTCCAAGTTCCTTGATGAGCCTGAACACTCTGTTCTGGGTGGGTCCAACGTAGGCGCCGCCCACATCTACAGAGCCATGAGTTGGGTGCTACAATAAAACATTAAGTTTTTTCAAAGCATTTATCACAGATAGGTTCTTGATTAATAAAACGTAACCATGAATTTCACCTGTAATGAAAAGTTAGTAATCGACACACAGGCAATGATCTACACAGCTGATACGAACACACAAAAGTATCTTCTTGTTGGCGATGTTAGTAAAATCAGTGTCTATATAATTATAACAATCTGTCAAAAATCAATATTATCCTTGTAAACAAGAGAATGATAAAATCAGCAACACCCAAGTAGACCATACATTCATGACCTAATTGTTGTTTTGGTATGCGTTTAAGGTAATGATGTACAAGAATGTACTTGAGGAAGTGTCAATTTTGCATCATCCCCACTTTATCCACCAGTCCACCAACCTTGTAATAAATGTCCGGTCCCCTGCAGGGTTCAAATGTGTATCATTACAGTAACCAGCAGGGATTTGGATTTCAACATAGGCTGGAAGACATCGCTGTCAGTCAACTGGTCAAATGAAACTGACATATATCCCTTTCCATTGTCAGTCAATCATGTATTACATGGAGTGACAAGTGGATCAGGAAAAGACATTCTGTAGCTCACAATTACCTTTTTCAGGACTGTTATATTGGAATATTACACATAATAGTTGCATAGGATATATCCTCATTGCTTGTTCAATACGCAACATCTTCATACATATGAAACAGGGCATAATTACAGGAAACATTATCACTACCTTGGCATTGGCAGTCACAAGGGTACTGGAAGTCCAAAGGTTGTGCCAAATATCACAATACATTACCAGTATGGCATATGCTATACTTCAAAACTAATGGAGAACAAAATTTAATGATTTGGATTTAAATAGTCAATGAGGTTACCATGAGAAACATGACCAAGATCAGATTGTAAATCTGTGAGCAAACCTTACTGACACCATAGATCATCAATGCAAAGATTTAGCTTCAGATACCTCCTAATGTCACTAATTTAATATTATAACAGCATTCAAGTTGACAAGGAACTACAACAAAAGCTCAATTGACCTGTTCTTTTGTTAGCATGTTCAGTGTGAATGATTTTGATGTGTTGAATTTCTTGGAGTTGTCAGAGCTGTACTATGCATAGAAGTATGAAGACAATTACATAAGATGACATAATTTTTAATAGGGAGCTAATGAGACAAGAGTAACTAGTAAGGTAAACCAATGTTCGTACCCTGACTGTGTATGTCCGTCCTCCGACACGATTCTGGGCTTCGAGGACAGCAACACTCAATCCACTCTTCTTGAGTAAACAGGCAGCACTTAGTCCTCATAGAAAGATAATCAGAGTTCACATATGCAGTAAAACTGTGGTAACTTGGATATATACTATAGAGACCATCAAGCATATGACATCAAGTTTACCAAGGTTTGAGACAAGAGGAATCATGTTATCAGCAGGTGCTGCAAGTATTCTGTTTGAACCTCAAGGTGAAATCATCAATCATCATGTTGGAAGAGTTCATGTTAATATTTGTGAGTAAATGTTAAAGACTTATGCAAATATCTAAAATTACATTAACTTGTATAAAAGCTGTTTGTTTATGTAACTGTCATAAATCTGTACTGCCACTAAAATGCATGGTATGCAGTTTCAACATGTCACATTTGACTCACAAAGTTAATACATTAATCCTAAATGCACATAATTCCAAACAATGAAAATGAATATTATTTTACACCGAAGAATTACATTCTTGCTGTGGCCCTGTAAATAACAGATGGAGAGTACAACCAGCATAGGTAACCATAGTAACCATCCATATTGTTGGCAGTTTGATAACATGTTGCATGATTCGAGACACTTGTCAGTGCTTGTAGAATATTTTTATGGGAGAGAGCTTGAAACTTTAAGAATTGAAGTTGAGTTGTCCTCACCACTGATGCCAGCGCCAATAACTGCAACATCCACATGAATGTCCTCCATCTTCAGATGCACGTGATGCTGAGACACTAGAAATGAAGATGAGAATGATAAATATTGCCATTGCTGTTGTCTGATATGTTACTCAGTAATAATAACAGAATTGCTCACAGAAGTTCAACATGATGTATGTTTTGCTTTTGGCTGGATATGTAACACAGCACTCATCAGTTTTTCCAGCTCAGTATGATGCCTCTCTATAAATAATCAAGTTTGGACCAGACAATCCTGTGACTGATATCATGAGCATCAATCTACGCTGCTTGGATATGGTGACATGCATCTACCAACCAGCTTGCCTGACCTGTCACTTCGTTTAACAAACATAGTTGCTGGAGACCAATTCTATTCCAGCTCTTCATGAGTTTAACATGAATTGATTATGTTACGACTGGTATTAATTTACTTCTGCATACATGTTTCGTGACTAAGTGATCATTCATAATTTATGGTTAGGAGTGGGGTGTCTGTGTGATGATGCCCCGCCCCCCCTTTCTATAAATTATGATAAGTTTAAGCATAATTTTTTACATATACTCATGTACAAAACTGCTGATGACTTCCCCACCTCCCCAGAACAAAATGGGTGACCCTTCCTTTAAGGGGCACTGATCCCGAGCAATTTCCGTGGACTGGTTGTTGCTTTTGTTATTGTTTTTCTCCTGTGAGCACCCGGATGATATCCCAGAATTCTTCACTGGTTCGTGATCTCTGCTGCGCCACCCGTATGTGCAATTGATAGTATAAGTATAGATTGATCAACAAAGATGAAATCCTTTTTACTCGATAATATTTCCATCCTTATAACAAATGAAAACATTTTGAAGTCTAAAACACGAAAAAAGTGACATATCTTTTCAGGCTTTTCACGTTGGTGTATAGTCTCATTGGTCATCCCAAAGAGCACACCCGCCAACTAAGTGCATGATGTCCACCATTCTTTAAAAAAGTAATTTAGTTAGCCAGTAATGAGCAATCAATCAACGATTGGTGGTTAATCCTTTGATGGAAGGATGTTGTTTTTACACAGGCACTATACGACAGGGTGTATTTAGTATAGATTAGTAAATCTACATACATAAAGTTTAAAACACTGCCTTTTGACAAATCCACTTTGCAAGATGAAAGTAATTAATCAATCAGCGTGTTATCGAATAAGCCTTTGATCGATGTTTGTTTGATCAGCTGGTAATTCCTCTTGCTGCACTTCCATGAACATATTACATAACATGTAAATATATTTGCCACGTCAGACCTAAATATATAATGATGAGTATTTACTCCAGACACGATAAAAGGCCAAATGGGAACCTTTGTTGGGTAATCTGAGTGGTGTTACCACTAATTATACCTGTTATAAATTCATTAACTGAGCATCAAGTGAATGATGACAAATAACATGTGTAGGTTTATACCACCTAACACGGGTTAAAGCAAGGGAGTAGTAATCGCTGTATTGCATACAATTTTAATTGCCTGAAAAAAACTTAAGGGCCAACACTGTTTGGAGGATACGAACAGAACTTCAGTGCTGCATAAGAAATACATATAAGCATTTGCTGTGTACTTAAGTTAAAAACTGTATATACCTATTTACCTAAGTACATTTTCAGATTTTTCTAGCAGTGGCAAAGGGGGGATTGTTTAGTTTACGGATTCAAATAAATCAAATGTGTGTTTTAATAACATATTTTTAACATCATATTTTTACATGACATGATTCAAATATTGAGATAAAAAGCACAGATATAGGATCCAATTTGATTAGTCATTATACCATCCATGCCTTAGAAAATCTGAAAAAGCCTACACTGCTGGGATACTTTATTACAATTGACAAGAACTAATGGGTATATTTTCAAATAATGGAATCTGATGTGCATCCGTGTACCACTATTTAGGTTGAAGAACTTCTGCCAAGTTAGACAGTAGCCTAGTCCCCGTGTCCGTCACGGTCGAGGGAGCAGGTACTGACGAGCTCGCACCTTGTATTCGTAGACTTGGCGAGAAACATTGATCGCTCTGGATCAGTGCCTCAGGAACCCGTTATCGCTATGTAGGTTATACAATAGATCTATATACACATATATAAATACTCTATACATATGAAGTGTGTGTACAGATCTATGGCCTATGTATAACCTACATAGCGATAACGGGTTCCTGTGATCAGTGCTCCTTTAAAATCATCACCACCCCATAAAATCATCACCTAGCCATAAATTATGTACGGTCCCTCATGCAGAGAAACGCAAAATGACCGGTAAACTGCTACATCTGCAAATACGTAGACATACCTAATGCTCTAGCTGCTTTCACAAACTGGCATCCACCGGTCCGTAATACGTGCATGTATACGTGTGTAATTACATAATATATGTGTACCACTTAACAGCTATTGGCTTCTGTCAAAACATGACTTTTCTCCCTTCCTATTTACTTCGAAAGACTATTAGCATAACGTACGTCACTGCCACAGGCAAAGCATATCACGTGACCGGACTCTTGTTTGTAAACAAACGCGCATATTCAAGATGAGACTGGATTAATGTGTGGTGTCTCGGGTTTAAATTATTATGTTAAATTATCACATAGTAGTGTAAGGCAGTTGGACGGGCGGCTGATGTAGTACCTTAAAAGTCATATACAGTCAAAGCTTGGTGACCGGGAAGACAGAGGACGATGCCACGCCTCCCGCATGCTCAGCCATCTTGAGGGGCAAGGCAAGGCTGTAAGGAGCGTGTGCAGCGGCTGTATTTGTGTTTCCCAGGTCACATGGCCCCCATGCTGGCTATATAAGCCTTGAAGGCAGGAAATCGACTGTCGGCTCGTACACGCATCAAGTTAACTGCCTCCTTCCACGTCTTGAGAGGAATAGAATGGGAACGAGTAGGTGTATTTTGTTGCTATTTAATTTCGGGTGTCGGGTGAGCGGGGTAGATTTAACAGGAAGTTCACAGTTACAAGTTCATGTTAGATTTATTTTGAAGAATACATCAAATTAGTCATTGTTAGGGGGGTTGGGGATTAATTAGGAACGCGTAGGTTTGGTATGCTGATATTTAATTTCAGGTGTCAGGTTAGTTGGGAAGAAATATGTAGGGTGGGGTTTTTTTTGTTTTGTTTTTTTGTTGTTTTTTCTGTACAAGCATGTCCTTTTATTTATTTTTTTACATTATTTTTGTTTAATATAATAAATAGAAACTTCATTTTCTTAAAATGTAGAGTGATATATCTGCATTGCTCAGGGCCTAGAATTTCGAATCTCTCTTAGCGCTAAGATAGTCGTAAGTGCCATACATTAACATTAACTTACGACTATCATAGCGCTAAGACAGCTTCGAAATTCTAGGCCCTGCTGCCACTGTAACACACCACACGCGCTTGGTACTTAACTTAAATTTAATGATCTCTATTTCTCGGTCACCATGGTACTGCTCCTCTGCATTTGGAAACCGGCAGATACACAAATGTGAATGTGAATGAGAGGGTATGTTTTCAGTGCAGTGAGAGTGTTGAGGATGAAAGACACGTTCTGTTGTATTGCCCTATGTATGATGATTTGCGTGAAAGTTTATATGAAAATGTCTGTTTTAGCTATCCCAACTTCTTAGATCTTTGTGATGATAAGTTAGTTTTACTTTTTTAAACACCATGTATATTTTAGTGCCAAAACCTGCTTTTATATCTTGCAAAGAAGAAAACATATTTTATACGGATAGATTTTACACTGTATGTACCTATATAATTATTTATTATTTAGTATTTATAATGTTTTTAATACATTAGTCTCTCATAACCCTTAAAGGGTGGCTCACTTATATGCTATATTTTATAAATATATTTATATATGTATTTTATGTGAGGTGAGACTGAAATAAAATATCTGTCTGTCTGTCTGTCTGTCTGTCTGCAAGCAACGTATCAGCAGACGCCATTGTTGCCATGCAAGTACGTCCCGCACAGTCCATTCAATATTTCTTAGCTCTTTTATTCTGGACGAGCCTAAACATTGAAATAAACATCTACGATAGAATGGCTTAGTTTCTAACTTTCTAGTGCTGGTATTGGCATACAACCTGCGATACGATGCATCACGATACAAAAAAAAAAACCCCTTAGAGTCGCGACAATATATTGCCAAAGTATTGTGCACTGAAGCAGTGATACGATACGAATCCCGATATAAGGGTGGCGATACATTACGTGTCACGATACTAAAACCTTTAATTCTAACACTAACTATAAGACACCAAAACAAAACCAGTTATAAAGTATTTCGTCAAATTCCGTCAGCGTCGTTCAATAATCATTCGGAAAGGAGATACTTTATACACGGACTTTGCAAATGTTGATAACATGCGAGCGCAATATCTGACACATGTACAATTCTTGACGCAAGAATTTCGGCGAAAATGTTTATTTACTTTAATCACCAAACAAAAGTAAGTGTTTTTTCTTGACAGATATCGCGATTCGGCGATATTCAAAGTTAAATATCGATGTATTGTGGCTCGCCTGAAGTATCGGGATATGTACGACAAAATTAATTCACTGTATCGGCGGCCCATGGATCGATGTATCGATGAATCGGCACACCACTATTAGTTTCACAGAGAAAATATCCTCAAACTTGTAGCACTGATTCGAATTGTGTAGCGATTTTTTTGTTTACATACGTTGCCCACCCCACGTGCAGTCATCGAAGCCGTACGGATAGCATAGGCTGGTGCGCCTTGGCAGAATTTCTTCAACCTAAACAGTGGGATATTAGGAAGGGTGGATGCCCGTTATTTGAAAATATCCCCGGTAGTTTTTGTCTGACTGTAATAAAGAATCCCAGCAGTGTAAACATTTTCAAATTTTCTAATGCCTGGATGGTATAATGACTGATCCAATTTGATCCTAATTCTGTGTTTTTTACCCCGATATTCAATAATGTCATGTAAAAATGATGTTTATTACCTATGCTATGATATTAAAAACACACATTTGATGTATTTGAATCCGTAAACTAAACAACCCCACTTTGCCATTGCTAGAACATCTGAAAAATTACTATAGGTAACTATAGGTATATACAGCAAATGCGTATGTATATTTCTTACGCAACAATGCAGTTCCGTTCGTATCCTCAAAACAGCGTCTGCCTATAAGTTTTGTCAGGCAATCAAAATTGCATGCAATACAGCGAATACTACTCCCTTTCTGTAACCCGTGTTTGGTGGTAAATTTACACGTTATTTGTTATCTTTCACTTGATGGTCAGTTAATGAATATATAACAGTTATAATTAGTGGTAACACCACTCGGATTACCCAACAAAGGTTCCCATTTGGCATTTCTCGTGTCTGGAGTAAATACTCAACATTATAAATTAAGGTCTGATGTGGCAAATGTATTACATGTTATGTAATATGCGCATGGAAGTGCAGCAAGGGATTATCAGCTGAGTTACAAAAACAAACATCGATCAAAGGATTAACCGATAACACGCTGCTTGATTAATTGCTTTTATCTTGCACAGTGGATTTGTCAAAAGGTAGTGTTTATGTATGTAGATTTACTAATCTATACTGAATGCACCCTGTCGTAAAGTGCCTGTGTAGGTTCAGGCTCATAACGCCGACCTTTCGACCAAACTTTACGGTTGAGTGAAATATAAAGGTCGACGTCCGGAGACTAGTTTCATTTTGCCAATTAATAATGGATTACGAGGACAATGAGGAGGATAATCCGGATTATGTCGTCGCTCCAAATCCCTGACGGACGCTTCTAGCCAGCAGCATACTGGACCAGCTTGTTTTGGTCTGTTCTCGTGAAAATGTTTGGATGAGCCTTGCCGATGTATTTCTTCAGGCGTGAATGCCACCCTGGGGGGGTTGTTTGTTCTTGGCCCATCTGAGCTGTGGTGGTTCCATTGCGTCATGTGCAGATCTCCCTCCACCCAGCAGAAGTTGGTAATGTAGTCTCCGAGTTGTCGGCAGCGGTCATCATCTGGCATCGTTGCCAAGGTATCCAGCCACAGGTCCTCCACCTGAAAAAGAAAAGATACATTTATTAATGTTACTGAATATTAAGGTCAAAACACTTTTATTACACAACCTATTTGGGTGGAGCTCACTACATGTATTTGTTTTAAAATAACTTACCTCCTGTGCTGGCACCAAAGGCAAGACGGCACATCTCCGGACGAACCTCTCGATCTCGTCATCGTCCTGGTAGGCCTTCTGGATATGGTGCTGCTGGGTTCTCCTCAATACACATTGGGTGAAGTGGAAGAAGCAGCCCTTCCACTCGCTTCGGGGGAACACGATCGCAGAGGCGTTTCTGGAGGCAACCTCATAGTCCATCTGCAACAAAATATTGGAACATCATGATACAAATATTGACAACAATGGACATAAACTGTGCATGCATGGGTTTATAATAAGCATGTAATTTGCATTATTCTCTCCGAAACAAAACAAAAGCATTCATTTGTATTTACCTGGATCTTCTGTGGATCCAAATGATGACCTCTGGTCGCGGCTGCATCGACAAGTAGTCTGAACATCCTGGTGTAAGTATCCTCTTTCGTATCTGGCAGGAAGAAGAATACCAAAGGAAACATGTTCCCATCTACCATGCCATGGATAGTGTACAACTGGTGAAATATGGTCGGCGCCACGAAGAATGTGCCATTTCCGTAGATGGTGTCTGATTCGCAGAGATAACACAAGTTATCGGCGGTGGAAAACCCAAGGATTCTCTTGTCATGGCCGTCGTCGATGAGGAGGAAGGGGTCGCCAGAAATCGTCGTCTTGTATTCATCAGGGAAGACTAGGTCTTGTCGTCTGAGGGGAAGTGGTGGCATCACCGCTCGCCTGGCTCTGTAGAAAGAGCTCCGGGCACCCGGGAAGGTGGGTCATGGCAAAGCAATCATGGGTTTGGTCTCATCAGTCCAATTTCCATCTCTCATGTCGATAAGGCCTTCTTCGTAGCGGGACTGCATGGGCTGGAGGGTCGAAGCTGCCATAGATATTTATACCAAAGATATGAACAGTGTTCATTATTGGCACTCTGCTAAGTGTTATTGTAAACTTTTCAAGCAATTGGAAGTGACATGTGCTACAAGTTCACCTTATCCAAACAGTTAGAGTAGATTATCCGCAACGCTAATTAAGCCTAATCAGAACCTAACCTTCAAAGGAAACCGTAGGTCGGCGTCCTGAGACGACACCGAATCTGTTCTTGTTCATTATAAAAAACAGGCAGCCTAATCCAATACAAGCCAACCCCTGAATTAATGAACTTAGACTCTCCCTGTATGAGTCTGAAATTCGACCGATTAGCACAGAACAACTCAAGCGTGATTCGACAGATCGGCACTGTTGGCTGTTCAAAATTCGACGGATTAGCCCGTAACCATCCTATGCTTGCCAAAACATGCCTAGGTCCTCACGGTGTGATCACCTGTTTTAAGAGATTAGCACGTTCCAGTGACCTGGAACCTTTAAACAAACCTGCTGGCAAACTGGGGACACCCCGTCCTCACATTGGCCACTCAGCTTGAAAAAACAAATGTACGTTCTCACAATGCTAAATACCTCCCAGTTAGCAAGTGCTGAGATTACCAGTAACAGGATGTTAGTTGTCAACTGGCCATTGACAGGTTGAGTGGCTTTGTAAGTCCAATATGGGGACAGGATGTCGGATTGTACACATTCATAGTGTCATTGGGACCAGAAAATGGTGTCGGAATTCGGAATGTACACATGTCGGATAATTCAATGTTTACATGATGATAATATAGAAGAACGCTGCCGGGACCAAAAAAAAATATGTCGGAATTCACAGATTGTCTGATAATTCAGATGTCGGATTATACAGAGTTCACTGTATTTTTAAAAACATATTGCTCCCTATTGCCCTTTGAACAACTCTTTTGATATTATTAAGCAGATCAGCAGGATTGATTATTGAATTGATTGAGTGCGTATCACCTCAGCCGACGGCATAAGACTTTGCTCGAAGTATACGAAGGTGGGGGGGGGGGGGGGGGGGGGGGGACCTGTCTTGGTACGAATTTCGGTTGTTCAATCCTTGGCCGCGTCAAAGCAAAGGCATTACAAGATGGTATACTTGCTGTTCCCCTGGCTGGTGCTCGTGAGTAAGGGGAACAAAACAACCTGGAGAACTGGTCAGCTGGGCGTCATTATACCAAGCGTGAGTGAGGTATCCATGGCAAACAGCTGTATGATATCTCAGCTGCCTAGATAATAAACCAGCATCAGTCTTGACTAGTCCACACATCAGACACACTTACACGTATGCATGCGCTTAGATAGGATCAGTGTTCTGGAACGTGATGTTAAACACTATTTTATGTCACCTCAGCCTCGTCTAACTAGCGCTCCATTTAGCAGTGTTTGTAAAAAACAACCATGTTCACTTAATGTACTTGGGATGGGACCCGGATGTACGAAATGGCAGATTCAATGCCATAGCTCACTGAGTCATTTGGAATAGACTGTGCTGGGGTATTTCCCCCAAACCAGCCACATAAACGGCACTATTGTTAAGTTTCAACAAAGATGTGAAAACACAGGTTTCCATTTTCAACCATTTTATTATGAAATTATGAAAAGCAACATTTTATGATAATAAATTACCAATAACATATTCATCATCTGTGTCATTCGAGAACAACACATAAAATATAACAAGAGTCATCAGAAGATGACATATCCCCCCGGCCCCCACATCTTTGAAAGAACAAATCATCTGACAGTTACTTAAAGTCCAGCTTGATTTTAGACTAAGTCCAAATTGTTTCCATGGAAACTGAGAAAATAATAAATCACAAATATCTGCAAATAGCATCTGCCTCACATATCTGCTAAGTTTTGCTGAAAGATATTAAGAAGTTTTCGAGTTGTGCTCCGGAAACGAAGCCCACCCCTCACTTTTGGGACTAAGTCCGAATCGTTTCCATGGAAACCGGGAAAAATAAAAATGCCAAAAATCTGCAAATACCAAAAGGCACCACTCAAGGTTCTGTTTCATATATCTACCAAGTTTTGTTGAACAATATTGAACAGTTCTTGAGTTATGCTCCGGAAACGAAGCCCACCCCTCACTTTTGGGACTAAGTCCGAATCGTTTCCATGGAAACCGGGAAAAATAAAAATGCCAAAAATCTGTAAGTTGCAAAAGGCACCACTTTGGGATCTGCCTCACATATCTGCCAAGTTTTGCTGAAAGACATTGAGAAGTTTTCGAGTTGTGCTCCGGAAACGAAGCCCACCCCTCACTTTTGAGACTAAGTCTGAATCGTTTCCATGGAAACCGGGAAAAATAAAATGCCAAAAATCTGCAAATAGCAAAAGGCACCACTTTAGGATCTGTTTGATATATCTACCAAGTTCTGTTGAGAAATACTGAACGGTTCTTGAGTTATGCTTCGGAAACGAAAGCAATCCTTACTTTTTGAGACTAAGTCCAAAATGTTTCCATGGAAACTGGGAAAAATAAAAATGCCAAAAATCTGCAAATAGCAAAAGGCACCACTTTAGGATCTGTTTGATATATCTACCAAGTTTTGTTGAGAAATATTGAACGGTTCTTGAGTTATGCTCCGGAAACGAAAGCAATCCTTACTTTTTGAGACTAAGTCCAAAATGTTTCCATGGAAACCGGGAAAAATAAAAATGACAAAAATCTGCAAATACCAAAAGGCACCACTCAAGGTTCTGTTTCATATATCTACCAAGTTTTGTTGAACAATATTGAACGGTTCTTGAGTTATGCTCCGGAAACGAAGCCCACCCCTCACTTTTGGGACTAAGTCCGAATCGTTTCCATGGAAACCGGGAAAAATAAAAATGCCAAAAATCTGTAAATAGCAAAAGGCACCACTTTAAGATCTGTTTGATATATGTACCAAGTTTTGTTGAGAAATACTGAACGGTTCTTGAGTTATGCTCCGGAAACGAAGCCCACCCTTCTTTAAGACTAAGTCCAAAACGTTTCCATGGAAACCGAGAAAAATAAAAATGACAATAATCTGTAAATAGCAAAAGGCACCACCTTAGGTTATGTTTGACATATCTACCAATTTTGGTTAAAAAATATCGAACGGTCTTTGAGTTATGCTTCGGAAACAAAATGATTACGGACGGACGGACAGACGGACGAGGCGACGACTATATCCCACCGCATTACATGCCGGTGGGATAAAAATAATATCTCTGACCTAAAAAGTCTTTCTGAAAAAAGTGAACAATGGCACTTAGTTCAAAAGCAAATAACAATAACAGTTTTCTCATAAGATAACGACATTTAGATATAAGAGCTTTGCATTGAGCATCAATACACGATCACATTCTCTAAAGGAGGACTCAAGTCGCACTGTCAAAGAATATGCATCTATGCAGAACCTACACTTAAGTGTTCCCTCGATTGTGACATTAAGCAGTGTGTCCCTCCCTGGTCTCGTACTGACAATCCATCTTTTCAGACGTCATTACTTGTGATTCATATCTGTTGTCTAATCTCTGACCATGTGTCGATACATTATGTAGCACTATCTGCATGCATTTGTTGGTTGGACTTGGCGCATAATAAATCACTATTATTATATTTGTATCATTGCTGGAGGGATGTACCCCATGAGAGATCTGCTCCTCAGCAAGTCATGCTTTTTCGTAAGGCTTCACTGACCTGGCCAGTGACTGTATTCGAATCAACACTCATGATGTCAATCACTGGAATAAATACTGATTGTCATATCAAGCAATAACCCTCGTGGGGGAAGCTGACGGTGAAAATGAGTAAACTCTGTAACCGCATTATTCATAGAAATGATATACTTATCAAATATATCATGTTGTCCTTTCAAAATAAATTATTAAACAAAACCCCATGGAATGAAATGCAAAACTTAAAACTGCAAAATTAAAAGCAGATTAAACAAGAGTCATCAGAAGATGACATATCCCCCCGGCCCCCACATCTTTGAAAGAACAAATCATCTGACAGTTACTTAAAGTCCAGCTTGATTTTAGACTAAGTGCAAATCGTTTCCATGGAAATCATGAAAAAAATAAATGACAAAAATCTGCAAATAGCAAAAGGCACCACTTTGGGATCTGCCTCACATATCTGCCAAGTTTTGCTGAAAGATATTTAGAAGTTTTCGCGTTGTGCTCCAGAAACAAAACCTACCCCTCCCTTTTGAGACTAAGTCCAAATTGTTTCCATGGAAACTGAGAAAATAATAAATCACAAATATCTGCAAATAGCATCTGGCTCACATATCTGCTAAGTTTTGCTGAAAGATATTAAGAAGTTTTCGAGTTGTGCTCCGGAAACGAAGCCCACCCCTCACTTTTGGGACTAAGTCCGAATCGTTTCCATGGAAACCGGGAAAAATTAAAATGCCAAAAATCTGCAAATAGCAAAAGGCACCACTTTAGGATCTGTTTGATATATCTACCATGTTTTGTTGGAAAATATTGAACGGTTCTTGAGTTATGCTCCGGAAACGAAAGCAATCCTTACTTTTTGAGACTAAGTCCAAAATGTTTCCATGGAAACCGGGAAAAATAAAAATGACAAAAATCTGCAAATAGCAAAAGGCACCACTTTAGGATCTGTTTGATATATCTACCATGTTTTGTTGAAAAATATTGAACGGTTCTTGAGTTATGCTCCGGAAACGAAAGCAATCCTTACTTTTTGAGACTAAGTCCAAAATGTTTCCATGGAAACCGGGAAAAATAAAAATGACAAAAATCTGCAAATAGCAAAAGGCACCACTTTAGGATCTGTTTGATATATCTACCATGTTTTGTTGGAAAATATTGAACGGTTCTTGAGTTATGCTCCGGAAACGAAAGCAATCCTTACTTTTTGAGACTAAGTCCAAAATGTTTCCATGGAAACCGGGAAAAATAAAAATGACAAAAATCTGCAAATAGCAAAAGGCACCACTCAAGGTTCTGTTTGATATATCTACCAAGTTTTGTTGAAAAATATTGAGCGGTTTTTGAGTTATGCTCTGGAAACAGAAGCCCACCCCTCACTTTTGGGACTAAGTCCTGAAAAATGTTTCCATGGAAACCAGGAAAAATAAAAATGCCAAAAAATCTGCAAATAGCAAAAGGCACCACTTTAGGATCTGTTTGATATATCTACCAAGTTTGTTGAGAAATACTGAACGGTTCTTGAGTTATGCTCCGTAGAAACGATACATTATAGCAACTATCTGCACATTTGTTGGTTGGAAAGCTTGAATCGAGAAACTAAAGCAACTTACTTTTGAGACTAAGTCCAAAA